GATTTAATATTGATTCCTATTGCAGGACTGCTAGTCCAGTGGGTTATTTGCATATCTTATTATTGTCAGTTGTGTTTTCTTTTCACAGTTACTGTTTAACATGGATGTCCAGTTGAATGGTTGATTCATTTTACATTCCCTGCTAAATGTCATTAAATATTTGAAAGTTAACCATGGAATGTGTCTGATGAGGTTAATTTATAAAGAACAAATGCATCCAACCAGGCACATTCTGTGGGTTTTCAGTAGGTAGTGAGGAGACTTAAGTTCATCTTGCTTACGTATTGTATATACCTGATGAAGCTGAGCAAACTGTTCTATCGCCACCGTGAACCTCCGCTCATAGCCGCTGATGGGGCAGGTGGGATCCAGACTCCCAGCCTGAGGACACAGCTACACCACGGCACCTGGGTCCGATACTCCACACATCACCCGAAGGCCCCAGCCATGGCTTTTCCCACACAGACTCCGAAAAGCTGATCTCATCCAGCCTCTCCCCGTCACAATTGTTCAGGCCGTGTATTGAACACTGTGACAGTCGTCACGTCGGCAGAAAGAGCAGAGGCTGAGACATAAGAGGATACAGGGATCTGTGCCGGTTTTGATCTCTGTAATTCAGCGGATGTGGCTTGGGCTTTGAAGTGGGGGCCTGTTCCCTAAGGCCTGAACACTGTACTGTCACAGCTGTGTCCACAGCCTGACTTAGAGTCAGCGTGCCAGACTCCTGCTCTACAAGCAACAACACTTCGACTAGGTTTATCCTAGATATATCTATTTTATTTTCGAATAGTTTTTCAAAACATTTTTCTGAGCAGTTGTATTGTTTTTCAAGAGGGGTACTTTGGTGCATGTGTTATTTTTAAGGGCATTTCCTGTTTAATGTGTCTGCTGGTTTGTTCTGTGGCTTACAGACCACTGGCACATTTACAAAAGACTTGCATGTTATGCAGCATTTTCAAATTCCACCCTGACAGACATTTTTGGATTGAAAAAGTGGACATGTACAGGTAGATCCTACCATATGGTAGCTGTATGTTGAATGATAATTGTAATATGACTTTCACTGAACAGCCTAAGGGGGCTTTTAATACAGATTCACAGGTGTTTCTGCTGTACATTGTTTACAGGCTGCCACTTCCTGTCATATGCGTCTGATCTGGCTCCTCACTGTGCAGCTTTCTTGGGCGTGAGCCAATCAGGCAGCCCTGCTCTGCGGTTGGGGGTGCAGTCGCATCTGCCATCAACACCCCCGCTTTTTTTTTACTCCTGTAGCTACAGCCAATGGTTTAGTGATATGGCAACAGCCTGCCACTGTTGCATCATCAGTGGTGCAACACATAGGTGGGCAGCATTGTGAGATGTGTTTGTGATGTCATAAACAGGGACATTCCCTCCCCTGGAGACTTTCCCAATCGCATTGTGGAGAATTCCACAGCTCTGCTAATGGGGTTAATGGTATCTGTGCGTAGGAGGTGGACTGACAGAGGTCGGCCTATGGCTTGCCCACCGGATAGCCTTGGGTGTTTTTGTGCATCCATGGAGATGCCTCCATAACAACTATTTAACCTTCATGCACTCTGTGGACACAATTGTGTATGAGTAGTAAAGTATACTTTTTTAATGCTTAAAACATTTTTCCTGAATAATTTTTTATACCTCTGTAGGTTTTCTAAGTAGCACTACTTGGTTAATTGAAATTTACTTTTTATTCTGTAGATTGACTTATAAATTGACCTCAGTTCGACTATTTAAATTGCATGGAAATCATAATATTGCATACAAATCTAATATGATCATAATAATTATTGACCTAATAGCAGAAATATTGTGGTTTGTTTGGAAATATGTTGCAAAAGTATATTCCATTTCACAAGATATTTCCAAACACACCTAAATTCCAGAGAGACAGGCTTAATGACATAACTTTCTCCTAAGAGTCTGGGTCATAAACCATTTTGTGAAAGCCCACACAGCCTCTGTCTAGCTTTTATGAGACAGGCAGGGCACATGGCTCAGGCTGAAAAAGTACTATTGGTGCATGATATGATTCTGCTCACCCAGAGATGGGAAATTCCACACAACTGCAGTGGATTTGCAAATGATATCCTACAGTGAGCAATGCTAGTCTTGGGAGCCCGAGACACTGTGGTGCTACATTTACCCTTTAATTAGCAACCGATTTACACCTGGGACACCGGGGAGGGGGACTTCCTGTCCGATGACATAACGACTTAAGTTAAACAATTAAGAAGTCAGAATGGCAGACAGTCCACCATCTACTGGGAAGACATGAGCTATGTAATCAGGCCCATCATTCACTTTTCCCATTTACTCAGGTGGGAGCACATACAGAACCTGGCCTGCACACTGCGGCTCTCAGCCAGCCAGAGGGGGTCACTAGAGGCTGATGTGTGTAACCAACTGACCCACTATTTAACTGCAGCCAGACTGAGCCAATTTTTAACTCAACAGTGTTGCTCATTGGCCATAACCAGTAATAATTCAGCTTGTTATAGCACAGTTATAATGTATTGCATGCATTGGTGTGTTGCTCTGCTCAAGATATATGAAAACAAACCTTCAGTTAGCCAATACAACACTTTGAACAAAGATGCCTATTTTAAATAATTTTTGGCTGATAGCCTACCAGTACCATTTTTATGTTCGTTTTTAATATTTAATACCTACAACAGGTATCGGTTGCTGCTTGTGAACTGTGTAATGCCAAAAGATTGTAGGGCTCACAGAGTTTTCTGTGTAAAAAACCGATTCCTTCAACAGTTCTCAAATCTAAGGTTTCCTGCAAACATTAGCTCCATTGTTATATGGCACCATTCTGAGAAGATGATAAAATGACCTTGGTGAGAAGGCTCTTGATAGTAGGAAGATGGACCACTCTAGAGTTACGTCAGCTTTGTACTGATACAGTTTTGAGTGGGTTGAAAAGGTGATAGTCAGACCACCTGCAGTCTTGAGATAGTGTGGGAAGAATCTGTCTGATTTTTGAGTTTCCTAGAGTGAAGTCCAAAGACAATATATATACAGCTATTTTTGCATTTTCCCAAAAAAGCTATTAATGGAATAGTACAGCGTGTTCATCGAACAAGCAAACACAGCTGTTGACAACACATTAGCTGGCCTCAGAACTCCTGCTGGCTGACTGTTTTTGTGTTTTACCAATAAAAGTACTTCCATAATGTGGATAGATTTTGATAAAATTAATGCCAGTAAAATGTGGAAAGCAAAACTAAATCATCCATTAGTGAAATCCCTCCTAGTGCAACATATTGAAAAGTACCAACAAAAAAAGGGGGGGGGGAATAAAAGCTGGATAATTGTGTATGTTATACCACTATAGAAGTCAGTAAACAGTTCTTTATGCAGTGGCCTAATAAAAGAACCCACCTCGATCGTGTTAGTAGTCTACCCATATTTTTACATTTAATTTAACTGTGATTTTAAAGCCATGACTTGGGCTTCAAAAGTAAATCCTCTAACTTTCTCCTAAACGGTACCCCGTTTGCAATAAAGGCGAGTAAAGTAATCTGAAAATTGTTGGTTTTTTATAAAAATTTAAATGAAATAATGTAGGTGGGTCAGATGAATAATAATAATAGTAATAGTCATTTCTTCTTTATTACGTCAGGTAATTAATCTGTTTTCCATGTCAAGTTTACTACACTGCTGCAATCCTCCTCTTGAGTGTGTGTCTCGGAGAGACGGAGGGAAAGACAGAGAGAAAAGAAGGGTGGAGTCTCTGTGTGTGAGCGGAAGGGTGGAGCTCATCCATAATCCAGACCCACCAGTGACTCACGTCCAGATCATCGACTGCATCATAAAAACCCAGACTCCAACTGCGGGAGAATCCGTCTCCAGACGTTCGGGACAATTAAGCTAAAAGCAGCGCTAAACCTCTTACAAGTGAGAGACTATGCGGGAACATAGAGGAGAACCACGCATTCTCCTCTAATTATACCTAAGGAATCTTTAACTGTGGGGTTGGTACAGACTAAGGTATCCCCTCTCCAGGAAAAGAGCACTTACTGATCCCACACACATTGCCATTTAGTTAAGTTGAGGAAAAAAACATCGGCATAAAAAGTAATTGTAATGCTCTCCAGCTAAGTACAGTGAAATTAAGGTAATGCACATAATTTGAATGCACAATCTGCTCCAGCGTTTCGTCGGGTTCTTCTCTGTTGAAGAATGTTCCTCTTTCAAGGGCAGTTACCCTTTGGTGGCAGCTAACTGTATGTTCATCACTGCACCAGTTTGATACGTGTTATTCAGCAACAGTTTAAATGCATTTGAGTGTGGTTATTATAATGGTTATTATACATATTCATATGCAGTGTTATTTGCAGTGGTTCTATGTATTTACATTCATAAAGAAATGGCAATGCCATGTGTAATATATTCATTTGTTATCATACAGGTGTGTTAATATTATGTTACTATCGTGACTCATTAAGATAATATTTACTATTTGTTTTGAGATCAACAATGACATTTGTGAGGCTATTTGTATGTATCTGAAGAGTCAAAAGAATGTGCTCTTATTGTGTAGCTCATACCCAGAGAGTTGCCTAGCTGGTCTGCATGGGTGGAGCAGGTGCAAATGTTTAATGTTACACTTAACCCACGTTGCCTCCTGCATATATGTACAAAAATGGTTTATGTGACATCATTTACAGCTTTAATGATCTATAATTAATTATAAGCATATAATCTATAGTTAATAATGTTTATAATAATAAAAATATATTAACTATAATCTATCATTAATAATGCATGCTGTTTTTGTTGTCTTGTGTCCCTGCAGGTGATGTACTTCAGCTCCCTCTTTCCCTACGTGGTTCTGATCTGTTTCCTGGTGAGGGCTCTCCTCCTGACCGGCTCCATCGATGGCATTCGGCACATGTTCACCCCCAAGGTAAGGGACGCCCCAGGCCCAGTCAGAGCACTGAGGCTTGGCAACGTGACTCTGAGCTGTCCCAGTGTGAGCAGTACCCTAATTGGCTAAGGTGCATGACTGGGACCCTTGAGGTTGTTGGTTCAAGCCCCAGTCTCGTCACAGCAAGAACACCATTGCTGTTGGGCCCTTGAGCAAGGCCCTTAGCCCCCTGTTGCCCCCAGGGGGGGGTTTGGCCCTAGGTCAACTGTAAATTGCTTTGGATAAAAGCATCAGCTGAACGAATGTAATTTAAATGTAAAGTGGAGTCCTCCAATGATCAGTGTTGGGAACTCTGCTCCTCTGTTGCAAAATAAATATATGACCTTAATAAAGACTCAAAGTAATTGCATTCATGAGCACAAACATCTATCAAATGATGGCTCGAAATATGTAAATAAAATCCAGGATTAGGCAGACATCTGAAGATGTTATTTTGCATTGCCATATATAACATTTTACACATATGCAATAAAACTTTTGGACATTATTAATGTGCCATATGAGCTATATTGAAATATTTTAAGTTCCAAAGGAACTGGGTGTAAACGTTGACCCATTTTCACACCGCCTAGACTCTAGACCTTGTGCTGAATTGGTAAAAAAAAAAAAGACAATGAAGAAGTTTAGCAAAAACTATTGATCAAAACTGGCTCTACATGTCAAAGTTAAAAGTTACAAAGAAGGACTGAAGACACCGGATCTCTTCAGGTCTCTGAAAGATTGATTGAAGATTTTATATTTTTAAAGGGGATTAATGAAGGGGATTACAGAAGCTATTTCAGGATGACTTCTGTCTTACTTTGTTACCTTAACGTTTGATACCTGGATCCAGTAATGATCAATACTTTTTGCTATACGTCCCAGCATCCTCTGTTTTTTGTAATAAAGGGCTTCTCACACCCTGGTGAGCATGTGGCAGAGTCAGAAGGAGGCAGCATGGCAGCTCCGGGGAGGGTGTCCCCCGTGGTGCCCCCAGTTCCCCTGCTGCCGCTAACCCCTGCTAAAAATGTATTGAACCGCTGTCACCCCAAAGACACTGGAAGAAAGTGAAAGGGCAGCCTGTACTTAATTAATAATTAATATCACAAACTCGCAGAGGAAAGATTGACACATGTGGTATGAGTCAAATGAGGCTCTGATCTTGTGGCCATTGTAGCCTCAAGCAAGGGACTATGAGCTGGCAGTGGGTATGATGAATATATGACTCGCGTCTCAGGGAGTCACAGGCACAGCAGTGAATACCCATGCAGTAAGGCTGTAGAGGAATGACACAGTGTTATTAAGCCATGACATATTTTTTGGGGGGGCACCTGTGCGAATGCCTATGGCACTAAATGTACTTTGCTTTGTGTTGGGGGGGTCTGGTCCCTTCAAGAGTCAGTTATGGAATTTGAGCTACCTCTGATTAAACTTGGTCTCAACTCAGATTTATAAACTGTTGAACAGCATGTATTCTGTACTGCAGTAAAACAGTAAAGAGTGCAGGGTGATGTAGTAAAGAGTGATAGATTTGTGTAATAGGAAGAGATGTGATTGTGAAGTAAGCTGAAGGTTTCTGCTCACAGCTGGAGATCATGCTGGAGCCCAAGGTGTGGCGTGAGGCGGCCACCCAGGTGTTCTTCGCCCTGGGCCTGGGCTTCGGCGGCGTCATCGCCTTCTCCAGCTACAACAAGCGCGACAATAACTGCCACTTCGACGCTGTGTTGGTGTCCTTCATCAACTTCTTCACCTCCGTGCTGGCCACCCTCGTGGTGTTCGCCGTGCTGGGGTTCAAGGCCAACATCATGAACGCCAAGTGTGTCGCGCTGTAAGTCCAGCCCTCGCTACTAACAACAAACCTGCATGCCAGACTACTGAGAGAGTTCAAGCACCAGGTGGGAGAGGGGCTGTTTCCAGGAGCACAGTTAAATACTGTAACTCTGGGCAGTGTTGGACAGAGCAAAATAATGCTTTTCAGTCCAAGTATTGTTGTCAAATTTGCCACTACACTGAGTTATAGAAATTCTGAGTGAAAGACATTCCCCTGTGTATCTATTCACAAGAGGAGAAGCATTTCTATGTGTGCTATTATTTGTGTGTGTGTGACTGCTCTTTTCTTTATTACAATGGCAGAAACACAAAGAAGATTGTTGGACTTCTGGATAACAAGATAATCAGCCATGACCTGATCCCCCGGCACATCAACTTCAGTCAAGTGACCCCGGAGGACTACCTGCTGATGACTAAGATCATCCGGGAGGTACAGGAGGACAACTACGCCGCCCTGAATCTGGATCCGTGCAGGATCGAGGATGAGTTAAACAAGGTAGGAATTCACCTGAGCTGAGTGTCCATATCACAAAGATGCCTCACATGCAAAGTCAACATGCAGGCCTCATGCGCTTACATAATTTATTATTATTAATAAAGTCATCAGTATCCATCATGACCTGTCAAAGTTTCAGTATTGCAACTGATGTTTTTAGTGCATGTGATTTGAATGTATCAGTCTTATGCAATGTGGTCATGGAAAGGGTTTTACATCACATTTTTCAAACCAGATGTATATTTGCTATCATTTTGCTCTAGTAATCCTTTATAATTTATTCATTCAATTTCTATAGATCATAGCAAATATAGATAGATAATTTCTTTAGTAAACTATGCTGCTGTGGCGATGGTTGTTTCTTGATGGGGGAAGTGGCCTCAATTCTTTATGCACTCACTGGGCCCATTGCAGGTCATACACAAGTGTGAGTGTGAATGAGCTTTCATTTTTCACTGACTTTTCTGTTACTAACACTAAACTCTGCATGTGAGTGAAGTATCTATGCTCTTTTCTTGTGATCTATTTTTAGCATCTATATTTGCCTCAGAGCTCAAATCACTTTGCCTCGACTTCATAGAGCATGAATAATTGACAACGGGCAAACTTAAAGGAACACATAGTACTGAACAAAGTAATGGCTTTTGTGTGACTTCTTCTCAAGTTCATACGCAACAGTGGAGCAACACTAGCTTAGCTTAGACTCTGTTAGACTCTATGGCAAAAGTATTGTCCCCTGACGGCTGTATTTTGGATATAGTTTTACTATGGAAATTTTTATAAAAGCAGTAATACTTTATCCAAAGTACAGCCTGCTATTAAATGTCCAGACCAACTGTAAATTGGTCTGTATGGATAAACCAAGTAAATAACTGTTCTTATCACAAATGTGATCCACTTGTTGTCATGGTTCATTTAATTACTCATTTTCTCTGTGTGAAAATCTAACAGTGAAATGTTCACTCAGCTAATCATTTTAATTTGTTGTTAGTTGTTGTTTTTCTGAAACAAAACCTTTGTTTGTGTTTCTGTTCTGGTGGTCTAATTAATGAAACATCAAATAACAAGCGTTGTTAAAAAGCATTTAAAACTGAAATGACTGCAGTGAAATTTCTCAGCAGCTAATGCAGGATGTAATCCTGTTTGACCCTGACTCTGAACCTGTAAGGAGTAGTGTGAGATGCAGCTTGTTGATGATACCTGGGGGGGGGGGGGTGTCAGAGATCCAGTTTTCTCCTGCTGAATGCTAAGAGGAGGGGTTTCCACTTGCTGTTCCGCAGGCTGTACAGGGTACGGGTCTTGCGTTCATTGCCTTCACGGAAGCGATGACCCACTTCCCGGCCTCGCCGTTCTGGTCGGTCATGTTCTTCCTCATGCTGATCAACCTGGGGCTGGGCAGCATGTTTGGCACCATAGAGGGCATCATCACGCCCATCGTCGACACCTTCAAAGTGCGCAAGGAGTTCCTCACAGGTGAGCTTCTGCCACGGCGGTTGATACCGCAACATATACCTGAATTGCTAGGCTCGAGGCTACAAGCGCATGTGTAGCCTGTCAATCCGATGTGGTTTAACCCTGCCTGACTTCAGGGGATGCGCTTTGCATTTTGCTAATACCGGCGGCCGATCATTACCTCAGTGGAATCACAAGTTTCATTGGTGAGTGCATAATAAAGATATTGTATTAAATTACATATGCCTGAAGACAGAAATATCCTCAGAAGTAGGTGGCACCAAAACATTGCAGGAAGTCAGATGCAGAGAATTTGCCAAAGCTAAACAGCTGCTCTCTCAAACTCTGCCATATCTTAAATAATCAGCTGATTCAGCACTTTGGTAGCCATTTGATATTTACAAGTGTTAAATCGTCTCTGCTGCCCCGGTATATTGGATTTATGACACAGTAGCCTTCCACAAGGGTACTCTACAACAGGTCTATTGAGCTGCAGGCCTGGAGGGCCAAACAAGCGTCACACCACCTGATTTCATGGATTAGCTCCTCTCCTGGGCCAGGGAGGCAAGTTAAACCGGGAAATCAAATGGCACAGAGCCCGGTTTTGGCAAACACCTTGCAGACACTGCGGTCCTCAGGACTGGAGTTGAATATCACTGCTCTACAGCTGTCTCTTCTTCTGGAAAATTGCAGTTTGTGCAGGGTTTCATTCCCCTCACCCAGTGAACCATACGATCAAACTGTTTAGTCATTTCATGCCCTTATTGCACCACTTAAGTGCGTGATTCCTGGAAAAGCTGCTGTGGTCTGGCCCTGTAGAGACTTGAGGGAGCAGACTTCAGCCATGTTCCTGTGTGTGCATGAGGAGCCGAAGGCATGAAATGAGTGTCATGCTTAAATAGTAAGCCTACTTACTGAGTGCTGGAACCCTATTACGTAAAGACGTGCCACTCACTGACTGAGAATTAATCCCCTCACCATCTCACTTTCATAGAATTTGTTTGGAGTACTGGCACTGTGTAGTAATCAAACACAATCTGGGTCACAGTCACAGACAGTACAGAACCCACCATAGTACTGATTACATAACCATGATCTGTCCTACTTCCAACACCCCCACATGATTGCCTGTGTTTAGATACATAACATTTTTACACAAATGCAACAGTGACCAATATACTGCCATTTTGCGCCCTCTAGTGGTCAGAAGTTGGTTGTGCAGGAGCTAGTCACAGTGAGCAAGTGGCTGTGGATATGCAATAGTGGAATCACGTGCATTAAGGTCATGGTCAAGGAGGACTGTATCTGTCTCCTGCTTAATTATTTAATCAGGACAAACATTGTTGTGATTTCTGCTGTGATTT